GCTCCATCCTACCGAACACGCATAGTGGAGTCTTTGTCTGCCAGGGTGGGGACTGTGGGGCGGCATCCCGTGTATTACACAATTGGTGACTTATTCATCGTATATTATGATTGTTATAGTTATGTATTTACTGTATTCTATTCATATCTTAGACCGTAATAATTTCCCTTGTACCTCTCTTGCCCTCCCCTGCTACCAAGGCCAAGATAGTGGGCAATGGGAGTTTCCGTGTTATAATTTCGATATATTTGTATAGAGGGTGTGGAGAATCCATCGGTACCAAAATCGTCGAGATTGGTTATGTGAGGGTATTCCGAATATTTTTTTCATAAAGGACACATTGCCATGAAAAAAAAATATTATCAGAAACAATGTAAATGAATATTTAACCTGTCTTTGGTAGAGCGAAGAAAGTACCAATACGTTGGATTTTTTTTCCAACACTTGGGAGAGGCGTTCCGGGTTTCATCAATGCATTGTGCTATTTTACATCACCATTGAAAACCCACCCGTCCAAACCTGAAAAAAAAACTGAAATTCATTACTAGAGGCCTACCTCGTGTCTATTGTACTTATTTTTTTTCACCAGAGAATCCTAGCTGTGCTTATATTTTGAAACAGAGATGCTTTGAATATATTTCTGGATCATCCTGTATCTAGAGATCAGTGAAATAAACCACGAACGCAGAGACTATTTTCGTTCTTGCTAGAGCTACAGGAAATATCTGGAAATTTTCCTCTCAAACACAGTTTCTCTATTAATTTCTTCGATTTTATATAGTGTAGTGGTAGGCGCAATCGAATCCATTTCTCAGTAATCTAGTATAATTTCCAGTAACTGATTACTAAATTATTACTCCCAGACTCAGGTTGAACACTTCTATCCGCAGATCTACTCCATCTTGGACGCTGTAGAGAGTGACTTCAGCGAAATGGTTTCCACTTACACCGCTGGAACTACTTACGAAGGCCGACCAATCCGTGCAGTTAAGGTATATATTTAAGCTTTTCTTGCCACACCGGCAAGAAAATCCAATGTTTTCATATATGTATTATATATATATATATATATATATATATATATATATATATATATATATATATATATATATGTATATGTATATATATATATGTATATGTATATATATATATGTATATATATGTATATATATATATATATATATATATATATATATATATATATATATATATATATATCGAAGACCATATTTCCGAAATGAAGGTACGCCTCTCTCAACCACTAGATTTCATCTGGTAGCGGCAGCACCAAAGAGGTTGTTTGGATTGACTGCGGCATCCACGCCCGTGAGTGGATCGCCCCGGCTACTTGCCAGTGGATCATGGACAAACTGACCTCAGGCTACGGCAGCGATAGCGAGGTCACGGAGTTGCTCGACGCCTACGACTTCCATATCTTGCCCTCTGCTAACGGTGAGAGAGAGAGAGAGAGAGAGAGAGAGAGAGAGAGAGAGAGAGAGAGAGAGAGAGAGAGAGAGAGAGAGAGAGAGAGAGAGAGAGAGAGAGAGAGAGAGAGAGAGAGAGAGAGAGAGAGAGAGAGAGAGAGAGAGAGAGAGAGAGAGAGAGAGAGAGAGAGAGAGAGAGAGAGAGAGAGAGAGAGAGAGAGAGAGAGAGAGAGAGAGAGAGAGAGAGAGAGAGAGAGAGAGAGAGAGAGAGAGAGAGAGAGAGAGAGAGAGAGAGAGAGAGAGAGAGAGAGAGAGAGAGAGAGAGAGAGAGAGAGAGAGAGAGAGAGAGAGAGAGAGAGAGAGAGAGAGAGAGAGAGAGAGAGAGAGAGAGAGAGAGAGAGAGAGAGAGAGAGAGAGAGAGAGAGAGAGAGAGAGAGAGAGAGAGAGAGAGAGAGAGAGAGAGAGAGAGAGAGAGAGAGAGAGAGAGAGAGAGAGAGAGAGAGAGAGAGAGAGAGAGAGAGAGAGAGAGAGAGAGAGAGAGAGAGAGAGAGAGAGAGAGAGAGAGAGAGAGAGAGAGAGAGAGAGAGAGAGAGAGAGAGAGAGAGAGAGAGAGAGAGAGAGAGAGAGAGAGAGAGAGAGAGAGAGAGAGAGAGAGAGAGAGAGAGAGAGAGAGAGAGAGAGAGAGAGAGAGAGAGAGAGAGAGAGAGAGAGAGAGAGAGAGAGAGAGAGAGAGAGAGAGAGAGAGAGAGAGAGAGAGAGAGAGGAAGAGAGGGAGGGAGGGAGAGAGGGAGGGAGGGAGGGAGGGAGGGAGGGAGAGAGGGAGGGAGGGAGAGAGGGAGGGAGGGAGAGAGGGAGGGAGGGAGAGAGGGAGGGAGGGAGAGAGGGAGGGAGGGAGAGAGGGAGGGAGGGAGAGAGGGAGGGAGGGAGAGAGGGAGGGAGGGAGAGAGGGAGGGAGGGAGAGAGGGAGGGAGGGAGAGAGGGAGGGAGGGAGAGAGGGAGGGAGGGAGAGAGGGAGGGAGGGAGAGAGGGAGTTGCTCGACGCCTACGACTTCCATATCTTGCCCTCTGCTAACCCCGATGGCTACGCATTCACTCATACTTCCGTAAGTCGTAACTCGTTTTGCACATAAAAATGTATAGAAAATAATGCAATTGTGATTGGGCAATGCTGTGGATACAAAAGGAATGTTAAATAGAATGATCCATCATCGAATTCAACCGACGATTTTTACTGGGTGTTAGTTATTAGTTTTGGGACATAAATTTCATCACAGTGAATGCACTCGTAAGTAGGGGACGATATAATCTTAAATAGCCTACAGAACATATATAAATATACTTATGTATGTATCAGAACCGTCTTTGGCGTAAGAACCGTGTGCCCTATGGCAGTCTGGGATGCCACGGCACTGACCCCAACCGCAATTTCGACTCTGACTTCGGGGGCCCCGGAACCTCCGACAGCCCTTGCTCTGACATCTACCACGGTAATTCTCCTAAGTTGTATATCTTTTAAAGTGCATTTCTTTGAGATTTGTAAATGGAATGCCACTGCTTTCCCTCTTGCCTTACTTCTCGCTTTCCTCGCTGCTTCATCTCGCAATTTACCTTCTCATTCTCTTCCATGTTCTTCCTTCTTCCTCATCCACTCTCGCACTCTTTCCCCCTGCAGGACCATCCGCTTTCTCAGAGGTAGAGTCGCAAGCTATCCGGGATTCAGTATTGGCCTTGGCTTCTCAGATGAAGGTGTTCTTCACAATCCACTCCTACTCGCAGCTCTGGATGACTCCCTACGGCTACACCTCTAGTCTTCCTGCTAACTACGATGATCAGGTGAAAGAGGAGTGGGAGGGAGAGAGAGAGAGGAAGAGAGGGAGGGAGGGAGAGAGGGAGGGAGGGAGAGAGGGAGGAAGGGAGAGAGAGAAGGAAGGGAGAGAGGGAAGGAAGGAGAGAGGGAGGGAAGGAGAGAGGGAGGGAGGGAGAGAGGGAGGGAGGGAGAGAGGGAGAGAGGGAGGGAGGGAGAGAAGGAGAGAGGGAAGGAAGGAGAGAGGGAGGGAGGGAGAGAAAAAAGGGACGCGGACAAGGAGAAGGAGGGAACTAGGGAGGGAGTGGAAGGAATTTTGAGAGGGACAGGGAGAAAGGGAGAAAGGGAGAGAGAGGTAGAGGGGAAGAAAGGAAAGAAAAAGGGAGGGGCGGGTGAAACTAAGAGAGGGGAAGAGAGCGAGAAAGAAAGAGAGGGAAAGAGAGAGAGAGAAAGAAAGAGAGGGAAAGAGAGAGAGAAAGAAAGAGAGGGAAAGAGAGAGAGAAAGAAAGAGAGGGAAAGAGAGAGAGAAACAGAGGGAGAGAGAGAGAGAAAGAAAGAGAGGAAAAGAGGGAGAGAAAGAAAGAGTGAAAGAGAGAGAGAAAGAAAGAGAGGGAAAGAGAGAGAGAAAGAAAGAGAGGGAAAGAGAGAGAGAAAGAAGGAGACGGAAAGAGAGAGAGAAAAAAGGAGAGGGAAAGAGAGAGAGAAAGAAGGAGAGGGAAAGAGAGGGGGAAAGAGAGAGAGAAAGAAAGAGAGGGAAAGAAAGAGAGGGAAAGAAAGAGAGGGAAAGAAAGAGAGGGAAAGAGAAGGAAAGAGAGGGAGAGAGAAGGAAAGAGAAGGAAAGAGAGGGAGAGAGGGAGAGAGAGAGAGAGAGAGAGAGAGAGAGAGAGAGAGAGAGAGAGAGAGAGAGAGAGAGAGAGAGGGAGAGGGAGAGAGAGAGAGAGAAGGAGAGGGAAAGAGAGAGAGAGAAGGAGAGGGAAAGAGAGAGAGAGAAGGAGAGGGAAAGAGAGAGAGAAAGAAGGAGAGGGAAAGAGAGAGAGAAAGAAGGAGAGGGAAAGAGAGAGAGAAAGAAGGAGAGGGAAAGAGAGAGAGAAAGAAGGAGAGGGAAAGAGAGAGAGAAAGAAGGAGAGGGAAAGAGAGAGAGAAAGAAGTAGAGGGAAAGAGAGAGAGAAAGAAGGAGAGGGAAAGAGAGAGAGAAAGAAGGAGAGGGAAAGAGAGAGAGAAAGAAGGAGAGGGAAAGAGAGAGAGAAAGAAGTAGAGGGAAAGAGAGAGAGAAAGAAGTAGAGGGAAAGAGAGAGAGAAAGAAAGAGAGGGAAAGAGAGAGAGAAAGAAAGAGAGGGAAAGAGAGAGAGAAGAAGAGAGGGAAGAGAGGGAGAGAGGGAGAGAGGGAGAGAGGGAGAGAGGAGAGAGGGAGAGAGAGGGAGAGAGAGGAGAGAGAGAGAGAGAGAGAGAGAGAGAGAGAGAGAGAGAGAGAGAGAGAGAGAGAGAGAGAGAGAGAGAATACATAATACATAAATACGTACACAATTCTGATAATCTTGCTCTTAATCCACAGTACCGCGTATCTGGAGTGGGTGTCAGCGCACTCACTGCCGTCCACGGAACGCGCTTCGAATACGGGAACATTGCAGATACTATCTGTGAGTGAGAAACAAACCCGAGAACTCGTACACTTATTGTCCAATAGAGGGAGAGAGAGAGAGTTTGGTGTGATTTCACTGGACACTAACATATTTACGTTGTAAGTTTAACCTGTGTCCCCACATTCCAACAGACCCCGCGGCTGGAGGCAGCAGCGACTGGGCCTACGATGGCGCCGGCGTGCAGATGGCCTTTGCCTTGGAACTCCGTGACACTGGGAACTACGGCTTCCTGCTTCCCGCTGATCAGATCATTCCTGTGGGCGAGGAGACATGGGCTGGCATTGTGGCCGCTATCAAAGCCATCTAAATAACGCCTCTTTTGACGACAAGAGTGTTCTGTGCGCTTTCTGTAGCTGTAAAGAGAAAGGGTACATGATATACGAGCGTTGAGGTCTAGCTCAAGAAAAATTCTGAAATTTCCACATTGGAATAAATTTGAAATGAGCTTCCCATGATTTTTTCTTCGATTGATAGGATTAGTTTCTGTGTGCAGATGTGTTCATTTGTTCAGGTTAGTACTGATATGACGCCACCAGTGTGAAAATGTTTAAAATTCTGCAAATTTGGTAAATTTTAACTTTGCTCACAAAATATACCAGCCACCAAACACGTATAGATTACAAATACACTCGCGCAGCCGTTACTAGAGTAATGTAACGTGTGAGACCTGGAAACAAGATGAACAAACATGAAAAGGTCTGATTAAAAAAGCCCACCAAATTTATTACGAAATTACACACACATCTGTAATAACAGCTCACGCAAAATAATAATGATAATAATAATAATAACAATAATAATAAGGCAGCAAAAGGGATTATAGCTTCATGATAATGATGACAGTAACTGTAACAGTAATAGTGATAACACTATTAATAATAAATTGACAACAATGATGAATATTATAATACTGATTTTGATAATCGTAAATGATCAAAATGATTAAAATGATTACAATAAATTTCATAATAATAAATTTATATTAAAATATTAAAACTAGTAATGTTAACAGTTAAAATATTATTATACAAATGCTAATTCACTATGGAATATTATGTATGAAATTTTCAAGGATATGATTTTGAGAATATAATATTCTGAATAAGATTGATATGAGTCAAAAGAATAACGACGTTACCTGTAATTACTAAAAAATGTTCGCTGTCGATGAACACAAAAACTGAAGTTAAAATTCCGCCCAGTCACGCATGTCAACTTTTTCAATTACGGGCGTCAGCACAGTAAAACGACAAACATTTTTTACATATTACTACAATATAATCTGGTGAGTTTAAGGGATATTTTAGAAGACTTTATAGCGAGAACCAATAAGACCAAAAGATCCCCTAATCTGCGGAGGACAGCGAATCTCCTCGCTTGTTCCTTGTGGAGTGATGTGGATCTAGTGAGTGGATGTAGTCGAACAGGCGTGGATAAGTTCATGCTGCATGTGGGGATCTTATCGAAAAATGTGCTCTTGGTATTTGCTGCACTGATTACGTTGCATGTCGAGAGCACATCAGTAAGAACGCAGCAGTGGGAAGGGAGCAGTACACACAAACGCAAAATTTAGTACATGTGAGCTTGCACTGGGGAGGGAAAGGGTACACAGCGCAGAGGAAGCAAAGAAAGGAAGAAAATGTATACGTGAGTTCGCAGAGTCGGATAAGGAAGCATTACGCATATAGAAAACAAAATTCCAAGGCTGTGAGTTCGCACAGCAACAGAGAAGGAAGGAAATTACAGACAAAACAAAAAAGATATGTACAAATAAGTTCACTATTACATGAGTTAAATTCAAGCTAATCCAATGATGTCTTAGTCCACATAATAGGTATTTATATTTTTGGCAAGCGTCTTGGATCATGAAATCGGGCGACCGTGCACGCCGACAATCTGACCGTGAGGCGCCTGGTTTTGTTCTTGTATACATTTTTTTTTATTACGGCTGTTTCTCATCCGTTCAACATATATGACTCACCTATGAAAGATTAAATTCATTTCACATTTTGATGCTGCAGATAACATCTTAAGAGAGTCAGAAAGGGCGGGTGGGGAAAAGACCTTGTGGTTGGCAGGTAAAGGGAAAGGTAAACCACTGCTGGAAACTTTGTTTTACCCACGGGGTCAACATCAAAGTGGGCATAATACATGTCTAGAGATTGCAAGACTTGATATCTATTTCATAAGTATAACATTATTATTATTTTTTTTTACTGCGTTTGAATGGAGTCATAGGGGTCAGATTCTTTTGACAGCCAGTTGCCTCACAACAGTAGTGGTTCCTGCCATCCCCATTTAACGCAAGAGCTACTGAGTGCAGAGAACACCTGCAAGAACATAAAGTGACTATGCTAGTGACCTTCCATTTATACCCGAATGTACATACTTTATGAAACTGGCTGCCGCAGTGCATCATAGAAACTTCAATAGCCGAAACCTAATGAATAATATATAACCATTAGAAATGTGTCTAAACACGATATATACACGAGTGAGGATATAAACGATGAATATATACCTAAAGAGCTCAGACTTCTTTATGAAAGGAACGCCTACCCGAAAGAAAGTAAACATAAATCAGCTGTAGGATGGGAATGCTCTTAAAAGACAGCGATGTCCCAGGGTTCCC